ATCTTCTTCAGGCTCAGCATTAGCTCCATGTAGCATCGAAACACATAAGATGATAATTATATCACCAATAACAGACATCAACATTGAAAATGACCATCCACAACATTCTACATCTTTTTCTGAAACTACAACTAAAATCAGTAGCTAGAGACACAGAAGCATTGAATTGATTCCCATTTATAATGACAGAGTAGGATTAATTGCTCCTTAATGTCTCCGAGGCTGTAACCCTTTTGTGGACAGGCAGCCTCTTCATTTTTCCCCTGGAGCAGCTGGTGGGTTTGAACAGCTCACCTTGCATTTAGCAGTGTAATGCCTAACCCACTACACCACCAATATGCCTTCAAACAGCATTCAGGAGTTGTAAAGCCAAAAACTTGTCCATTTCAAATGACAGGACAACAGTCTGAGTCTACCTAAATACCTAAACTTTTAATTTGTATCAGTTTTGTTGGCACATGATTTACATATCATACAATTTAACAGTTCAATCATTCAATCATATTAAGGGAAATTATTGTCAACTCATCCATTTTCCATTGTGCAATCAATATTAAAACCTCATTTTTGTCAACTCTTTCAAGATTCATTATGTAAAAGTGAGTCCTTATGTTTCTACCATTCTTACATACCCATTTATTATTCTTTAAAAATTTTTCCTTCATTTTTCTAATTTCTATTTGGATCCAAAAATGTACCCTTAAAGGTATATTAAATGTACCCTTAAATGTACCCAATTTGTGTACTAAAAAGCACAGTTTTGAGATATTTTAACTGCTGCAGCTTCTTTATGACCAAACATAGTTTTAAAATGTATCTTATATTTTTATTTTATATTTTAGTATCATCACCTTGCCTTCACTTGCATTGACTTTAGAATATATGATATGTAATTTTAGTGCAAGCATACACTGGAAAAGTTACGCCCACAGATGTTTATGCAATATTTGGTGCTTGTGCTAAACAAGTCACGTGGACTTTTAATTGTATGTACGGTTTGGACACATGACCTGCATTGGTAATATTCTCATTTGTACTATTTTCCTTATTAAGCAAACACTTATACATTCATTTTTGTTACACAAATTATATTATGAGAATCACTTACAGTATAAAATATTTTTATAGTGTACAATTTAGTCTGTACCTCCTCCCCCCACTCCAATTTTTCAAGTATATGGCAATAATGAATTTGAACCAAGTTTTTACAGAACTGAAGGATTACTGTTATAACTCAATGAAACACAGTTTGAAATATAATGTTTTAGCTGAAGGCCTTTATTTCTTTTAAAATGCAAATACCTCTACTTTTCATCTGCAATCAGTCATTTATACATTAATGTGAATGAATTTATTAGACATCTTTCTGAGGTTTGGATTTAATTCAGAAATGGGGGAAGCAAAGATGAAGTTAGCAAATGAAGGAAATGGAAAAGATGATTGAATTTTCAGGCGACTGAGAGCATTGAAGACCAATTTGGCCCACTCTACAATTTTTCTCACGGACTATGTTTATATTTAGTGCACTCATATATTTATAATAAAATAACAAAGAAAATATCTTTTGAATTAGATGTAAGTGTGAATATATTTCAGAGTCACAGCCAAATGACTTCGGAATATTTTGCCCAATCAACTATTTAATTCAATGAATTACTTATACTTTTTGGCCATTATAAATTAGCAGTAAAATCGCAAACAATGAATTGAGTAATTGAAGATGCTGTGGGTCTCTCCCCGTTAGTGTCGGCATAGGTTGAAACAAAGGACATGCACAGTAGTCTCCGGTCCTGCAATGTCTGCTATAAATGAGGATCTCAAGTTCCTAATCCGAGTTTGTCTCATAGCTAAATATCAGTTCCTATATTTTAAACAAAAATATAATCCTTTCCTAATTTGAATGATTGTATGTAATAAAATAATTGGTATCTATAACATGAACATGTTGAAGGATAAGGATGAGAGTTTGAGTCGTGCCTGACCAAGCCATAGTATTTTCAATTACCTCCTATGCATGGGAAAGTTGGACGATGAACAAGGAAGACCAAAGAGTAGTCCATGCGTTTGAATTATGGTGCTGGTAAAGAACTTTGTAAATCCCATGTTATACCAAAAGAACCAACAAATCTTCTTGGAAGAAATAGAATGAATGCCTTGGAAGCAAGGACAGGCAAGACTACAGCATACATACCGTAGATATGTTGTCAGGAGGGCCAGTCGCTGGAGAAAACACCATGCTTGGTAACACACAGGGGTAGTGAAAACGAGGACCAACCCACTGACTGCAGCAATGGCTCGACCTCAGAAGGGCTGGGTTAGGGGCCCTATGCGTCAGAACTGAGTTGATGGTACTTACCAACCACACGACTTGAGCATAATTATGTATAGTTATACTTATTTTAAAAAGCTTTATAAATCTTATCAAAACATGTCTCAATCTGACCGTGTGACAATTTACTTTAAATGCCTGGTAATTTTTAGAGAGATATATCAGAAAATTTGCTTGTTATTATTTTTAAAGTTCTCTGAAAATGATAAAGTCACATTACAAATTTTCCAGTTTTTTTAAACAGTGGAAAAGACTAATTTAAATGAGTTAAAATAAACAAAAACCTATCCCCCAAACTTGTTGAACCTGAACTATATATTTGCTGTATTTCATTTTAAAGTCAGTACTTCTGGTCAATTTTTAAAAAGTTTAACAGATATTTAGATTTAAAATGTTTATTTACACTCATATTTAATACTATATTTTTTAGGGGGGGGAGATGATTTAATACATGGAAAACATAATCACCTAAAAGAAGATGACACTGTTTAAGAAAGAGATGCATGTAGATGCTTTAAGCAGATTACAGTAAGTATCTGATTTAAGAGTTAACAGAAATAGATATTAAATAAAGATGTGGAATAACCTTGATGCATCTGTTGCAAAATAGATAATTTTTAAATGTACTTCATGAAATTAATAAAAATACTGAAGAATGCAGTAGTATTTCACACATAAATAGCTGACAAGGCTACCTTGACTGCTAAGATCATACTTACTTGAAAATAAAACTAAATCAAAACTACAAGTGAAATCAGTTGAAAAAAGAAAACGAAATGTAGAACAGAATTCTGCTCTTGCTTAAACTACAACCTTCAAAAACTCTGAGTTCTGCTGCTTTCGTAATGTGTGTAATATATATTTAATATTATGTATATATCTATCCCTAACCCACAAACTCTTCATGCCACTGCGCCCTGCTTTCTTGCTGTTTATTTACATGAATGTGGTCCTGAGAGTCCTGACCAGCAAGCAAGAAGACAGAATTGAGAGAAAATGTCCCCTACAGTTATAGACACTACTAGTTTATGACAACACCTGTAGCTGATTTATCTATACTTTATCTCAAACATGTATGTCTTGCTGGGAACATGATCTCAAGTTCATGAGTGAGGCCAGACCAACGGCATGTCCAGCATGCCTGTGACAGCTCTCTGGGAGGTGCAGGCACTGTCCGTGGAGCAACATAACCGTGCATCCTATCAACTTTCAAACGACCCAGAAGGTGAATGTAGTTGGTGGATGAACCACTGAGAATAAATTCAGATAAATATGTTGGGGGGGAAAAAGTTATGTTTCATGTAAAAGATATGACAAGTATTGAGATGTAAGAAAGAATCCAGTAGAAAAATAAACCTAACAATCAACTAGGATCTGGACACAATATAAATTATTTGTGAGCAACGAGTCAACATAGTACACGCATTATAACAATTTTCACTTCATTTTGAATTTGCCCTGTATAAATCTATTCTTCCTTTTCTAAATACTTAACTGTAAGAAGCTATTTTCTGCTACATTTTCATATAGTGGCATTCCGTGCATAAGTATAAAACATTTTAATTGATTTAATATATGCTTGCTGATATTAGATGGCACTGCTGTCTTCAGGATTACCCATACATTTCATGATCATCAAACCTCTGGCTGGAAGTTTATAATAACTTCAAAGGGATGTCTACCAGCTTCCTGATCAATATCTGTCACCACCAAGGTTATTAAATTACATATTTGTGTGCCACTGTTTACCCCCAAAATTCCATGTGTGTGAAGACATAAAACTTAATCTTGCCATTATCGTCCGTCTACCATTTGCATGATGCAACCTATTAAAATGACTCCTTACTATACTTAGCTGGATTAACGTTTTCGTAGCTCTCTCAATGTTATTGATTATATTAGGTAAATCTTAGAAAGTAAATAGTTATATTCATATATAAAGCAATATCCATAAACTATTAGAGCATAATCAGTTCTTAGAACACCACCACTTTGATATCCTTATTTATAGAAATCTACCAAGGATTCAAATTGAGGTATCAGCATAAATTACATTACAATGAAGTTTAAGATTCAGATTCATAATACGTTTGTACTGAAAAGATTATAAGGAACATTTTGACACAAAGGTTTCCAAACTTGTTTCTCTTTCTTCTGCTATTTTCCAGTATTCCTCCTTGTTATTAACTTTTTTTTTAATGGCAATATTTAATGAAATACATTCTGGAATATTAAAATTGGTGCTAACTATAGTATTTAGAAAATAGCTTAATGCCAGGTAGCTTTCAGTGTCATACTTTGACTAAGGAGTCCGATGAATAATAAGTCTTGAAATACACCACAGAAACGTTTTGACAATGCCATTATTAAAGTTCCAAACCCCCGACAAAGACAAGCTAATTCTAGATGGCGACTACATCCAATATTGGACTGTGTCCAAGAATCTACATAACATGCTTTTTTCTATCTGCATGTTTTTTATTTTCTGAAGGAAAAGGTAGAGCCAGCAAAGAATAAGGCTAAAAGATCCACAATAAATGTAGTGGGTTCATAATAATTTTTAAATGTCTTCTGTTACAATTCAACCACACATGTAAATAGGGAAATACCAACAATTCAAGTACATAGATATAAAGTGCAATGGAAAACTCATTAATTTTAAAAAACTCACCTTGACTTGCAAACTTCAGCTCTTTTGCATCTGTGAGTGTGGGCCTTTTGTCCGACCCTTTTTTTTCTACTCGTCGATGGCTTCGTCTTTTCTTAGACTCTCCCCAAAGATTGGATCCGCCATGCATGCTTGGTATGTTCAAAATAGCAATTCCTTCCAGAGAGATGTTTATTAAATCTATCTGTACTCCATCACACTAAGAAGTGAAGAAAAAAAAAGAAGCAGAAGTAGGATATTTCAACTTTCTTTCCTTGATTTCTTCTGTATTTTCCTATCTTTTAAATAAAAGCTTATAAATCCAAATCTTGTTATTTCTGAATATACCTGTCAAGAAAACGTAGTTACCATAATTGTCAATACCAAGCATAAAGTAGCTACTAAACCCAAGTAGTTATCATTCATAGTGCTACATCTGATCAAATAAAATCACCTTTATCATTATTTACAGAAAACTGTAGGAAGAAACTCAGGTTAGTGTCTGTGCATGTAACTCTCCAGAGAGCTCTAAATGGTCACAGAGAAGTTGATTCTGGGAAGTCTGGTCTACTTTCAGACCGAATTTTTAATGATTGCCTCCAAGTTGTAGGGTATACTGTAAGTGATATTGGGGAAAGGTAAATAAATAGTATTTATGAATCATGGTCTCATTTTATTTATGCAGATAAAATATTCATTTAAGAGACATTTGTGGGGGGATGGGGAGAATTATACAGTACTGAATAAAATTTTTTCAATGTTTGAATCACATTGGCATGGCTCAGATGGTTTCTTGGACAAAGTAAAGTTCGAAGCAGGAGGCACAAAGCAGTGATGAACACAGACCCTAAACCAATGTGGTGGAGATGGCAGGTGGGGAAGCGAGGACAGAAGACAGGAGTTAAGAGTGAGAGGGAATTCCAACTCACTCTACTTTGTAGCTGCTGAAACAAGAGTTTGAGTAATGAAAATAATTATTCAGATAAATTTCCTCTTTTCCTTTCTTACTCCCTCCTTTCGCCTTACTCTCTCGCGCTCTCTCTCTTTTTAAAATTTTTTGCCTGGTAACAGATACGCTTTTGTTGGTAAGAATTACGGAACTTGCTAACTGAAAATGTGTTGCAGTATTCAGAATGGACAATTGTTTATTCTTTTAACTTTACTGTGAACCTCAACTGAAGGACATGTTGGGAGAGTGGCAATGCTACTCTGTATTTTTTTAAAATTACTAATTACTGATCTCTTCCAAGTTTTCTAAAATGGCACTTACAATAGATCCCCCCAATTGCTCTCATTTCTGAG